TGGTGACTTTACCGAAAAAAACAAGAAGCTGAATCCTTGCAGTCACGAAAGCTTTAAATCGAAAAATAACACATCACCCAATAATTTGCATCAGCTATCGTCATAACAATCATCAGCTGACGGAGCGGCGAGGTGAGTCGTAGGGAGTTGGCGCCCTCTGCTGGCGGTGATGGAGATGTATCTGCGACCAGAGCCATCCACCGCAGAGACATCCACCACGCCGATGCTGCCGCTACTGCTACCGTACCGCGAGAATCTCCGTCTCGTCGGTGCAGCCCCGACCAGATGTTAACTCCATCGCCTGGTCTGCAGGAGGTCGTGGGTTCAATCCCGGCCCTGACGATGCCTACTGCTGTATATTTAGACTTTGCGCCTCTCATCATCATCACGGTGGCTAGATGTTAACTCCATCGCCTGGTCTGGAGGAGGTCGTGGGTTCAATCCCGGCCCTGACGATGCCTACTGCTGTATATTTAGACTTTGCGTCTCTCATCATCATCACGGTGGCTAGATGTTAACTACCTCACCTGGTATGCAGGAGGTCGTGGGTTCAATCCCGGCCCTGACGATGCCTACTGCTGTATATTTAGACTTTGCGTCTCTCATCATCATCACGGTGGCTAGGAGATGTTAACTACCTCGCCTGGTATACAGGAGTACATGGGTTCGATCCCGACCCTGACGCTTGCTGCTGTATATTTGGAGTTTGTGTGTCTCTCTCTCTCCCCACACGATGATGACGACAAGCCACTTGGCTGAGCTATCATTAGTGATCGCCAGGTCGCTTCTGCAAAAGAGCCACATAGCTCAGTGGGGCCTTACCTTAGTTTAGTTTATAATTTAAGAATGTAACATGAAAGACAGCTGCAGTGGTGTGCCTTTGGCCATGGAAGCCACACCATGACCGTAAAATGAACCCATGGACACCCATAGATATATTTTAATGACACATTCCATTTGCAAGAGTTACAATTCTTATTGACTAGATTTGGATAATGGCAATCATATTCTGCTTAGAAAACGGAATGAGTGCCGTGGATGCGAGTTGGTGGTGTAACAGCACTCAGAGCCATCATCATCATCACAGTCACCATCGTCATCATTATCATCGTCGTTATATTCATCTCTCGCACAAACACCACTGTCATCATTATCATCAAATCACTATTATGATCATATTAATCATCATTGTCATCATGTGTGAGTCTATGGGTTTCTGTGTGAGTCTATGGGTCTCAGTGTGAGTCTGTGGATCTCTGTGTGTGTCTGTGGGTCTCTATGTGAGTCTGTAGGTCTCTGTGTGAGTCTATGGGTCTCTGTGTGAGTCTATGGGTCTCTGTGTGAGTCTGTGGATCTCTGTGTGAGTCTGTGGGTCTCTGTGTGAGTCTATGGGTCTCAGTGTGAGTCTGTGGATCTCTGTGTGAGTCTGTGGGTCTCTATGTGAGTCTGTGGGTCTCTATGTGAGTCTACGGGTCTCTGTGTGAGTCTATGGGTCTCTGTGTGAGTCTATGGGTTTCTATGTGAGTCTATGGGTCTCTGTGTATGTGGGTCTCTGTGTGAGTCTATGGGTCTCTGTGTGAGTCTACGGGTCTCTGTGTGAGTCTATGGGTCTCTGTGTGAGTCTATGGGTTTCTATGTGAGTCTATGGGTCTCTGTGTATGTGGGTCTCTGTGTGAGTCTATGGGTCTCTGTATGAGTCTACGTATGTATGTTGAACTTCTTTCGCACCGTACGTAGCCAACCGCGCTAATCGGAGGTGCGGGAGGAGGGAAGGACACCCAACTAAACAAAAAAAAACAATAACAAACAGGAAGCAGTTCTGAAGAAATGAGTTTTTAACCTCGACTTAAATGATAAAAAACATTCAACGACAGAGAGACAGCGCGTGAGAGAGGTGAGCGTAATTAAACCACGTCGAGATTTGCTGACAGCGTCGTGAACATATGAAAAATATGAAGAGGTTTTACCATTTCTGGCAATACAACAGAAGTTGCGTGATGTGCGATGTTCAAACACCAAATATAAACATTTTGCAAGGAATGATGGACTGCATTAAGGGGCCGGCCATAAATGACGTCACGCGATTTTGGACGATTTTTGACCCCGCCCCCTTCGTCACACGGCGTCACAAAAAGTCAGACCCCCCCTCAAATATGACGTCACAAAGCTCTGCCCCCCCCCCCCCCCCCCAAAAAAAATGCTTCAAATCGCTTTAAACTATTGTCACATTGTAGTGCGTATGTAACGTGGCGCTGCACTCTGATGTTGTGGGATAAAACATTTATTAAAACGTCTATTTAATTAAGTAGAACGTGTTGTCTATATTTATTTAAAGTTGCGCATTTTGTTGTGACGTCACATTTCTCAACCCCCCCTCGTCACACATCGTCACAAATGTCTGACCCCCCCCCCACCCCCCTAGGTGCGTGGCGTCATTTATGGACGGCCCCTAACCACCACGCAGTACCTGTGGTGAACATACAAACAAACATGCTCTGATAATTAATATGGCATTGTGTTTGAAACTTATTTTTCGTACTTTGATACTGGCAAAAAGGGTATCCCATGCTGTAGCTGCTCACGCCAAGCTACAAATGCTCCGACACGTGTGGCATTGTCCTGGTACCGTTCGCCTTTTGGCGATGTTCTCTGGCCTGACACCGCTGGTGAGACTCGGCTATACAGAAGGCTGCCGTCTCTGGTGTAGCTTCATCAGTCTCAAAGATGATGCCTGTATCTGGTGTAGGTTCATCAGTCTCAAAGACGATGCCTGTATCTGGTGTAGCTTCATCAGTCTCAAAGACGATGCCGTATCTGGTGTAGGTTCATCAGTCTCAAAGACGATACCGTCACTGGTGTAGGTTCATCAGTCTCAAAGACGATGGCGTCACTGGTGTAGGTTCATCAGTCTCAAAGACGATGCCGTATCTGGTGTAGGTTCATCAGTCTCAAAGACGATGGCGTATCTGGTGTAGCTTCATCAGTCTCAAAGACGATGCCTGTATCTGGTGTAGGTGCATCAGTCTCAAAGCCGATGCCTGTATCTGGTGTAGGTGCATCAGTCTCAAAGAAGATGCCTGTATCTGGTGTAGGTGCATCAGTCTCAAAGACGATGCCTGTATCTGGTGTAGGTGCATCAGTCTCAAAGACGATGCCGTATCTGGTGTAGGTGCATCAGTCTCAAAGACGATGCCTGTATCTGGTGTAGGTGCATCAGTCTCAAAAACGATGCCTGTATCTGGTGTAGGTTCATCAGTCTCAAAGACGATGCCTGTATCTGGTGTAGGTGCATCAGTCTCAAAGACGATGCCGTATCTGGTGTAGGTGCATCAGTCTCAAAGACGATGCCGTCTCTGGTGTAGGTTCATCAGTCTCAAAGACGATGCCGTGTCTGGTGTAGTTGCATCAGTCTCAAAGACGATGCCTGTATCTGGTGTAGGTGCATCAGTCTCAAAGACGATGCCGTGTCTGGTGTAGGTTCATCAGTCTCAAAGACGATGCCGTGTCTGGTGTAGGTTCATCAGTCTCAAAGACGATGCCGTATCTATTATCACGACATGATTGTGTGCATGTTCACCGCAATTACCGTGTGGTGGTTTAAGGGTTGTCACCACATCTACGCCTCGATATAAGGGACGAAACAGACTTCTCCACAAATCTGGCTGTCGCCTAATGAAGCCGGTTGTTATTACTGGCGAAACGTCACAGTACTAAGATCGTAAATGTTGTGGCTTAGCTCTCAAACACACAACCGGTTAGTGCTGTACTAATATACTACACTATACACTACACCATACACTACACTACTATACACTAGTGCTGTACTAGTGACGAATTGGCCACGTTCTGTTCACGTGACAACCCTTACTAGTTGGCTGTGTCGGGTGGTGTCGGGTTTAACGACACAACATTTATATATTTACGCGATCTCACCAAAACAACCTCTATTATTTTTCTTACCTTGACACTGCCCCCCCCCCCCCCCCCAAAAAAAAAGGGTCCCCACGACATAGCAATCGTCATCGCAACAATCACCGGAGCACAATCGGTTTAACACGTCGGAGGCTTTCGCGAACAATATTATTCGCAGGCCGGCCGTTACCTTGCCGGCAACGGCCGGCAAGGTTCGTCACGTAAATAACGCGCAGCAGCAGCAGCGGCAGCAGCAGCAGCAGCAGCGGCGGCAGTAGCAGCAGCGGCGGCAGCAGCAGCAGCAGCAGCGGCAGCAGCAGCGGCAGCAGCAGCGGCGGCGGCAGCAGCAGCAGCAGCAGCGGCAGCAGCAGCAGCAGCAGCAGCAGCGGCAGCAGCAGCGGCAGCAGCAGCAGCGGCGGCAGCAGCAGCAGCAGCAGCGGCGGCAGCGGCAGCGGCGGCAGCGTCGGATCGCCTGCGCGCAAAACAAGAAAACCGTCGACCCGTGGCTCGTCACGCGGCTGGGCCGAAGGGTTTGGAGCGTGGGGGGGGGGGGGGGGGCGGGAAGCCCCGACGCTGCCCGGAGGCCCCCCCCAGGGCGTGGACTCAAACCGAGGCCGCCGGGTCCGAGGGTGCGGCGGGGAGGCAAACCGCAGAGCCACCGCTCGCTCCGTCGTCACCACGCACGGCACGACACCGCGGGGGTGTGAGCTGCGTTGACGGGGGTCAGCGTCAGGGTCACTCTCGGGGTCAGCGTCAGGGTCACTCTCGGGGTCAGTGTCAGGGTCACTCTAGGGGTCAGTGTCAGGGTCACTCTCGGGGTCAGTGTCAGGGTCACTCTCGGGGGCGGGGGCAGTGTCAGGGTCACTCTCGGGGTCAGCGTCAGGGTCACTCTCGGGGTCAGCGTCAGGGTCACTCTCGGGGTCAGTGTCAGGGTCACTCTAGGGGTCAGTGTCAGGGTCACTCTCGGGGTCAGTGTCAGGGTCACTCTCGGGGGCGGGGGCAGTGTCAGGGTCACTCTCGGGGTCAGCGTCAGGGTCACTCTCGGGGTCAGCGTCAGGGTCACTCTCGGGGTCAGTGTCAGGGTCACTCTAGGGGTCAGTGTCAGGGTCACTCTCGGGGTCAGTGTCAGGGTCACTCTCGGGGGCGGGGGCAGTGTCAGGGTCACTCTCGGGGTCAGCGTCAGGGTCACTCTCGGGGTCAGCGTCAGGGTCACTCTCGGGGTCAGTGTCAGGGTCACTCTCGGGGTCAGCATCAGGGTCACTCTCGGGGTCAGCGTCAGGGTCACTCTCGGGGTCAGTGTCAGGGTCACTCTCGGGGTCAGTGTCAGGGTCACTCTCGGGGTCAGTGTCAGGGTCACTCTCGGGGTCAGTGTCAGGGTCACTCTCGGGGTCAGTGTCAGGGTCACTCTCGGGGTCAGTGTCAGGGTCACTCTCGGGGTCAGTGTCAGGGTCACTCTCGGGGTCAGTGTCAGCTGCTTTCGACTCTCCTGCTGGCTGTGGGCTCAGCTATAGATCCTGGTGATGGTGATGATCATCATCTTGTTGCTCCTGTTGCTACTGTTGCTACTGTTGCTGCTGTTGCTACTGTTGCTGCTGATGATGTTTTTGCTGCAATTGCTGCAATTGCTGTTCCGGTTTTTTTCTGCTTCTGCTGGTGCTGTTACTGCTGCTACTGCTGGTGCTGTTACTGCTGCTACTGCTGGTGCTGCTCCTGCTGTTGATGCTGCTGATGTTTTTGCTGCTCTTGCTGTTCCTGTTTTTGCTGTTCCTGCTGCTGATGCGCCTGCTGCTGGTCCTGCTGCTGTGGCTGCTCCTGCGCTTGCTGCTGCTGCTGCTGCTGCGGGTGTAGCAGGAAGCGGGCGGTCGCGTCCTGGATGCCGTCGCACGTGCCAAGCGGAGCGAAGCCGGCCGCCCCGGCCAACTCCGTCACTCGCTCCACGTAACCGGTCGCGGCCTTCGCATTGATGTCCAGCACGAACCTGCACGTTGATGTCCACACGCACGCACAAAGACACTCGCGCGCACAAAGACACTCGCGCGCACAAAGACACTCGCGCACGCACGCACGGTGGTGGGGGGTGGTGGGGGTGGTGGGTGGTGGGGGTGGTGGGTGGTGGGGAGGAGTGGTGGGTGGCGGGGGGTGGTGGATGGCACTCGAATATTCGCGTATTCACGACTCGCCACCCTCCCCGGCCCCCCGCTCACTCAGGAGAAGGCAAATCCGGTGCCCTTCCTCCCCCTCCCCGCGGCCTCCATCTCCCGGAGCGAGCGCCGACCAGCGCAACAAACGGCGGTGGCGGCGGCGATGCAGATAATGTGGCACTGCGGGTTCGTGGCGAGGGTCTCGCGCGGGAGGAGGGGGGGCACGAGCGGAAACGGGACGAGCGACCGGCACGCGCCGGGCCACCTGTGGCGAAGCAGCAGCCACGTCGGGTGGCCAGGAAATCTTCGGAGAACGGCCACGGAGGGATTCTCGCGGCACTTGCGGTTTGCGCCCCTCGGCTTTACGAACGATAATTGTTTCCGGAGCGGTGTCCGACGTTTCGCTCCGAGCACAGTCGCCGATGACAATCCCATAGACTCACACAGAGACCCATGGGCTCACACAGACACCGACTCACACAGAGACCCATAGACTCACACAGAGACCCACAGACTCACATAGAGACCCATAGACTCACATAGAAACCCATAGACTCACACAGAGACTCATAGACTCATACAGAGACCCATAGACTCACATAGAGTCCCATAGACTCACATAGAGACCCATAGACTCACACAGAGACCCACAGACTCATGCAGAGACCCGTAGACTCACACAGAGACCCATAGACTCACATAGAGACCCATAGACTCACACAGAGACCCATAGACTCACATAGAGACCCATAGACTCACATAGAGACCCGTAGACTCGCACGGAGACCCAGAGGCTCACATCGGCACCCACACGCTGACTACTGGCAGATCCACCACCCGTGTCCCCAATGTGCCAACTTTTTAAACAAACACAAAGACCCCCCGTGTAGCCTTAACAGACTGTTGGGGCAAGTACCGTTAGCGAGCACCTATAGAGGCCGACGCGGCACACGAGGGGGTGGGTGGCCAGCACCACGCCAGGCCGCCTTTGTCTCCCTAGCGACGATGTTTACACATCGCACCGGGTACTCATTTGAGTCTGAGTCGACCTAGGGGAGACCCATGACCGGTCCAGACAACCGTCACCGGTGTTGGCCGTGAGCGGGAATCGAACCCGGCTCGCCAGGTTTTATAGCGCAGTGCGCTAACCGCTGCACCACCGCTCCCCACACGCTCGCACGGCTGTAAGCTCTGTGGGCTCGGGACAACTCACTTGACAGTCTCCACAATGAGGGTGGCCTTGTCAGCTGCCACCTCCTGCAGGTAGGGCGTCAGCTGGTGGACCATGCTGCGGACAGCACCGCACCTCAGATTAGCACGCACACTATTATACACTACACTGATATTCACTACGCTACTATACACTACACTCTAGAGTCTATACAGTACACTATTTTTCCTTCCCCTGCGCATCTGACTAGTGTGGTCGGCTTCGTACGGTGTGAAAGAAGTTCAATGTATGTACATACATCGGTAGTGATCACCGTTCAACTCATTTGCAAAAAGTAAAATTCACTCATACGCTCATATGCCACTTACCTACTGACCAACCACCTGCTCACTCACTCATCCACCCACCCACTCATCCATCCACCCACCCAACCACCCACTTACTCAGCTACCTGCTCACACATTCTCAACAACACACTAACCCACTAAGTCACCCACCAGCTCGCTCACACACCACTCAACCAACCACCCACTCGCTCGCTCACTCATCCACCCAACCACTCATCCATCCACTCACCCAACCACCCACTTACCCAGCTACCCACTCACTCACTCTCAACAACACACTAACCCACTAAGTCACCCACCCACTCGCTCACACACCACTCAGCCAACCACCCACTCACTCGCTCACACACCACTCAGCCAACCACCCACTCGCTCGCTCACTCATCCACCCACCCACTCATCCATCCACCCACCCAACCACCCAATTACCCAGCTACCCACTCAATCACTCTCAACATCATACTAACCCACTAAGTCACCCACCAGCTCGCTCACACACCACTCAGCCAACCACCCACTCACTCGCTCACTCATCCACCCACCCACTCATCCATCCACCCACCCAACCACCCACTTACCCAGCTACCCACTCAATCACTCTCAACATCACACTAGCCCACTAAGTCACCCACCCACTCGCTCACTCATCCATCCACCCAATCCGCACCTCTGATGAGCACGGCTGGCTACGTACTGTGCGAAAGAAGTTCAACAGACACATGCGTGCGTACACGCGTGTCTCCTCTCGCCGTCGCTCGGCGCGTGCAATCATTGCCGCGGTCTGCCGCGGCGCACCTCAGCCATGAGCCTCTCTCTCACCTGTTCGCAAAGTAGATGACGTTGAAGAGCTTCCGGAACTTTGCCTTTTGGTGCAGGGTCTGCAGCGCGTTCAAGGGCAGGAGGCTAACCCGAACGTCCCCGATGCTGATGTAGTCGGCGTCTGTGAGCAGGAGAGAGAGACAGGGAGGGAGAGGCAAGGGTGCGACGTAGCCACCCGTTCACTCACTCTGCTCGCGTAGGTCATTTTGTGTTGTGTGTGTACGTGAAATCTGTCGTACGCGCACCCACCGCCACCGTGGGGGGGGGGGAGGTTGTGGTTAACCCGAGGGATTAGAGATCAAGGAAGCGGAGAGGGAAGGGAGGCCGGGACGGATGTCCCTGAGACGGGACAGAGAGGAGGAGGGCACGGGTCGAGATGAGCAGCGGGGAGAGAGGAGGCAGAGGAACGCCGGTGCACGAAGGGGAGGAGAAGGAATGACCGGGCCAAGATATCGGTGATGATGAAAGGCGATGACGATGATGATGAGAGGGTGGTGATGATGATGATGAGAGGGTGGTGGTGATGAGAGGATGGTGGTGATGATGATGATGAGAGGGTGGTGGTGATGAGAGGGTGGTGGTGATGAGAGGATGGTGGTGATGATGATGAGAGGGTGGTGGTGATGAGAGGATGGTGGTGATGAGAGGATGGTGGTGATGATGATGAGAGGGTGGTGGTGATGAGAGGGTGGTGGTGATGAGAGGATGGTGGTGATGATGATGATGAGAGTGGTGATGATGATGAGAGTGGTGATAGTGATGAGAGAGTGGTGGTGGTGGTGATAATGATGATGAAAGGGGAGGAGGGAAGAGAGAGGGAAGGAACGAGCGGGAGGGAGATGCATGGAGGAGGAGCGGCGTCTGTTTTCACAGTGGGCGGAGACAGGGGAAGAGGGGCTCAGAGTGGGGGTGGCCACACGGGAGTCACGTGGTCTACTGGAGGCTTGAGCTGGTTTAGAGAGCGACAGATCTATCAACTTCAGTCAGCTGGAACATCATTTACATTGGTACAATCATGATTGATCACAGATGCAACTAACTGACAGCCACAACTTGCTTTCATTTACATATTTTAAACAACTATAGATGGTATTTAAATATATACGCATCTTCTCATTGTATAGAAGTGTCCACATTTTATGTTGAGTTGTAATGTGATGGTGCTTCGAGTGGCAGATTTGTGCCAGGCGGGTGCAACGGTGCGTAAGGCAAAATACAATTGATTGACTATGCAGGTCAAGCCGTCGCTGGATTCCAGCTCACCTGGATCCTGTCGACTCCCATCCTCAGGTGTTCCACCAACCACCACCTCGTCCACAACCTCATCGTACCTCTCTTTGTCCACCCCTTCCTTCACCGCCTCGTTTTTCTCCTTCGAGTCATCCACCCCCTCATCCTTTGTCAGATCCGCCACCTCCTCTGTTGACACCTCCGCCACCTTGAAAATGAGACTCACGTTACCAGAGACCCTTTCACGGACTGTTTGGGCAAGTGCTGTCACGTCATGATCCTCCTCTTTCTTGCCACCATCACCACCATCATCATCTTTGTCATCAACATCCCCCTCCTCTTTAACCTCCTCCCCCACGACCTCTGCAAGGGGCAAGCTGCCGGGTAAAGCCGACCCATCACGATGGTAGCGGCGGTGTCACCTCATCCTCCTTTGCTTCCTCCGTTTTCTTGTCACCATCGCCGCCGCCCTCCTCCACCTCCTCCTCCTGCTGCTCCTCCGCGGCCTCCGTGGGGGCGGCTGCCGGCTCGGGCGTGACGTAGCGGTGCCCCGTGGACAGCTCGTGGAAGGCGGCCGTCAGGTTGTGCAGCGACACGTCCTGAGAGGTCTGCGGCGACGCACGCAGCCACGAGGACGCTAAGAGACGGCCTCCCCCGCCCCCGACCACCTGACCCCCTGACCCCCTGACCCCCTGACCCCCCCCCCCGACCTCCGACTCAGCGGGCGCCCGTTAATGTCGACGGGGTGGCGTGGGGCCAGCGACCCCACGTGCCCCGGCCGCCTTTGTCTCCCCGGCGTCAGGTGTTTACACACCGCACCGGGGGTGACTCGTTTGAGGCTGGGTCGACCTAGGGGAGGCCCAGGACCCGTTCAGGTAATCGTCACCGGTGTTGGGCGTGAGTGGAAATCGAACTCGGGCGGCCCGTGTTCGTAGCGCAGCGTAGCGCTAAACCGCTACACCACCGCTCCCCACATACAACAACAACAACCGCCATTCGCCACTAAGTGGCGGTAACGTCACCACGACGCTTGCGCCAGGCTATGTGCACCTTGAGGCCACGTGAAGTGTCGAACGCCCGCTGGCAGGAGGTCAGGGGACAGACCCAGGTGCCACGGGTTGACTGACCGAGTCGACTGAGATGACTGGCTGATGCTCCACCTGTGCCCCCTACTGTGCCAACCTGCTGTGCTTTAGTCACCCGGCGCTCCGCTCATTGTTGTGAGCGTCGCTCCTCCGCCCTCCGTTGTTGTTGGAGGGCGACTGCCTCCAACTGCCCAGCAGTAGCGTCCTTCACGAGCCTCCTCCACAGAGGCCGATCTTGACACCACTGGTACCAGTCATCGACAAGTCCACTCAGCTCCACGTCCTCCTGTACCACATCACTCCATCTCTTCTCTAGCCCGTGCCACGCCTGTTTAGGCCCTTGATCCAGCCAAACAAAAGCTGTTGAGGCATGCGGTGGCTGGGCATGCGGGCTACATGACCCAGCCATCGCAGCCTTGCCCGCCGGAGGAGCTCACCGATGGGACCTTGCCCAGATCTTTCAAGGATTTGTGAGCTCCTCACACAATCCAGCCTGGTTAAACCCAAGATGGATCGTAGGCATGCCAGCCTAAATGTTTCTAACCGGCGAAGATGTTCCATTAGGGGGGTCCACGTTTCGCAAACGTAGAGAAGAGAGGGAATGACTGTGGTCGAGAAGACTTGAAGCTTCGTGCGGAGCGACAGACCAGGTAGCTTCCACACAGCGTTACGCAACCGATGAAAAGATAATGCCGCTCGACTGATTCGGAGTGAGACCTCTGCTGTCAAACCGGAGCCGGTCATGAGCACACTGCCCAGGTATGGGAAACTCTCCACTCTCTAAACAACTGCCCCATCACCGATTGGGAGTTGTGGGGGTGGAGTGTCCGATGGTACAAAATACCCAGGCAGGTGCTTCGTTTTGGTGTGGCATGCACACGCACACACACGTACGCGTGTGTGTGCGTGTGCATGGGTCCTGTACACACACATACGCGTGTGTGTACAGGACCCAGGCACACGGACAACATCTCAATTACCCGGTGCCTTCAACAGTAAATCAGCTACGCACGCCACTCACTGTAAACAGCATTGATCTGTATTGACCGCATCTATACGAGTGTGAGCTGTGAGCCGTGAAGAATTGAATATCGTGTTAGCGGACGGACAGACACACACACAAAGACAAAGATCCCCCACGTAGCCTGAACAGACTGCAGGGGGCAAGTGCTGTTAGCGAGCACCTATGAAGGGGTGGGTGGCCAGCACCACGCCGGGCCGCCTTTATGTCTCCCCAGTGGCGATGTTTACACACCGCACCAGGTACTCATTTGAGGTCGAGTCGACCTAGGGGAGGCCCAGGACCGGTTCAGATAATCGTCACCGGTGTTGGCCGCGAGCGGGAATCGAACTCGGATCGCCGGGTTCGTAGCGCTAACCACTGCGTCACCTACACACACACACACACTCACTCACGTGAGTGTGGACCCCGTTGGCCGTCTTGAGCAGTCGGGGTTCCTCCGTGTCCACTCCAAACGCCACGAAGGGCCCCGTCACGATGTCCCCCCAGTAGCCCCGCGCCACCACCTTCTCCCCACGCTGCCACGCGCCCGGCACACCACATCCAGCATGCAGGAAGCCATGACCCGTGAAACCGTGACCCCTCACCCGTGACCCGTTATCCTTGACGCGTCACCCGTGATCTGTGACCCGGGATCCGCGACGCGTGACCCCTGACCCGTGGCCGGTGACCCCTGACCCGCGAGCCGACGCCGTGCGATCATCGCACCTGGCTGACGACGAGGTCGGACGCCAGCGTCATGTTGGCCACGTCGTAGACGCCCTCCCTGGCCTCGAACGCCACTCCACGCTCCCTCCACCGCGAGTACTCCCGGCTGTTTATGACCCCCGCCTGAGGGACGAGTCGCAGTGGGGATGAGGGGGGGGGGGGCGGCGAAGGTCAGAGTTCAAATACACACGGCGGTGAGTCCCACGCTTGACGCGCCTCCACACCGCGTCAGCGCTTTCGAAGACTGTTCACTGGCGATGGTCGTCTGCATCGGTCCTGGGCCTCACCTAGGTCGACTCGGCCTCAAACGAGTACCCGGTGCACAGGTGTGTAAACATCGCTGCTCGGGAGACAAAGGCGGCCGGGCGTGAATGCCGGCCACATCCACCGCCCCCATCTCGTGTCGTTCCGCACCTCCGAATAGCACGGTTGGCTACGTAGGGTGCCAAAGAAGTTCAACATACATAGACTCACACAGAGACCCGTAGACTCACACAGAGACCCGTAGACTCACACAGAGACCTGTAGACTCACACAGAGACTCATAGACTCACACAGAGACCCGTAGACTCACACAGAGAACCGTAGACTCACAAAGAGACCCATAGACTCACACAGAGACCCGTAGACTCACACGGAGACCCGTAGACTCACACAGAGACCCGTAGACTCACACAGAGACTCATAGACTCACATGGAGACCCGTAAACTCACACAGAGACCCATAGACACACACAGAGACCCATAGACTCACATAGAGACCCATAGACACACACAGAGACCCATAGACTCACACAGACACCCGTAGACTCACACAGACAGCCGTAGACTCACACAGAGACCCATAGACTCACACAGAGACCCGTAGACTCACACAGAGACACCGTAGACTCACACAGAGACCCGTAGACTCACACAGAGACCCATAGACTCACACAGACAGCCGTAGACTAACACAGAGACCCATAGACTCACACAGAGACCCGTAGACTCACACAGAGACCCGTAGACTCACACAGAGACCCGTAGACTCACACAGAGACCCATAGACTCACACAGAGGCCCATAGACACACACAGAGACCCATAGACTCACACAGACACCCATAAACTCACACGGAGACCCATAGACTCACACAGAGACCCATAGATTCACACAGAAACCCATAGACTCACACAGAGGCCCATAGACTCACACAGAGACCCATAGACTCACACAGAGACCCATAGACTCACACAGACACCCATAAACTCACATGGAGACCCATAGACTCACACAGAGACCCATAGATTCACACAGAAACCCATAGACTCACACAGAGGCCCATAGACTCACACAGAGACCCATCGTTTGCCATCCTTCCCCCGCAACCTCCGATTAGCACGGTTGGCTACGTACGTGCCGGGCCTTCATAAGTCGCCACTCGCTAACGCCACTTGCCCCAACAGTGTGCTGGAGGCTGTACTGTGGTGGGGGGGTAGGGGGTGGTGGGTGGGTGGGTGCGTGGGTGGGTGCGTGGGTGGGTGGGTGCCGTCTTGGCCTCTGCCTAATTCGCTCACTCCGCGCTCGTGTAGCTTCATGGCGAGGTCCCAGTCGTACGCTCCGTGCCGCGTGTCGTAGCGCGCGCCCAGGTACCGCCGGTTGCGCGCGTCCCACAGGCGCTCCGGCCGGAAGGCGCTCGCCTCGCCCCGCCGCCAGAAGGCGAAGATGCCCTCCAGGCGGTCTCGCTCCTTGAACTGCCGGGCGGGAGGAGAGGGCCTGATGCGACCCGACCGATCAATGGCTACGATTCGTGAGTTCCATCTCGCGGGCGAGGCGCCGCGCAAGCACGTGGGACCTCTTTCGCGCCGCGCGCAGCCAACCGGAGGCGCGGTGAAGGGCAACAGACGAGGTGGCGCAGTGAGCTGGGGCCCTATCATGAGCGAAAAGGTGAGGTACGAACGAAGTCGATTATTTAGGTGGACAGGGGGCGTGCATGGGATGAGGAATGGGCGGTCACGGTAGAAGGGGTGCATAGGGGATAGGGCAGGGGAGGTGCGTGACGACGCCTCGTGTGACGATGGCGGCACCCGCAAGAAACCAGCGGGCAGGGGCCGCCTTTGCCCAGAGCCCCAAGACGCGACAAGCTGCAGAGCTCCACGACCGCTCGGCCTCATCGCGGCACCCGGGCGAGAGGACGAAGAAGACGAAGAAGATGAAGAAGACGAAGAAGCGCGTTCACCTTCAGGGCCGACAAGTCGAGCCAGGGCAGCCGGCGGGCAGCCAGCTCCATGTCGGTGACCACCTCCACGAGCAGCTGCGCCTGCTGGCGTAGGTAGGTGGCGGTGTGCGAACGCAGCAGGCTGTTCCCGAACAGCTCCACAAACAGCTCGCTCTTCTCTGCAAGGCAATTATTATTATTAATGTTGTTGTCGTCGTCGTTGTTGTTGTTGTTGTTGTTGTCGCGCACCGAGCCCAAAGGCTCTTTGCCGACCCGCCCATTTACTGGGCATCTGTGAAAAAAGAGCTTCGTGGCTCAACTGATTCCTCCGATTAGCACGGTCGGCTCCGTGCGGTGTGAAAGAAGTTCAACGCACATCAACACGCAAGGATTCTGATTCTCTTTCAGGAGGGTCCCGACAAGTTTTTTTTCACACGAGACAGGCGATGTTGCTGCAAGTCCCAGTTGAGCCACGGTGGCTGGGAGATGTTAAATATCTCTCGCCTGGTATGCAGGAGGCGTGGGTTCGATCCAGACCCTGGCACCTGCGGTATATTTGGAGTTTGTATGTCTCTCTCTCCCCGTGGAGAACTCACCCACTCACTTATATACCCACTCACTCACTTACCTACCCACTCACTAACTCACTCACCAGCCCACTCATTTAGCAACTTACTCATTGACCCACCCACCCACTCACTAATTTTCCCCACTAACCAACTCACTCACTCAATACTCACCCATTCAAAGATCAATCACCGTGGCCAAAGCCGCTGGAGCCACCGCACCGGATCGCTTTCTACCCTCCGCCAGGTCCGGCAACACTCAACGATTGCCTGAAAACATCTTAACGTGGTTTCATTTTCTAAAACTTACGCGACTTTACCCGAAAGAGCGAAAGGGTAATTCCTGCAGTCGCGAAAGCTTCGAATCTAATCTTAATATGGTGTTTACAGGGGACCGCTGTTATTATTGTTGCTGTTGTCGTCGTCGTCGTGACTTCACGCAGCGGTGGGTCACTGCTCAGTGGGCGGTAGGGGTGGGACGCAGGAGGCCACGCGGCTCACCCTGCAGGCCCATGCGTTGAGGAGCCTCCAGGGCAAGGGTGAGGAGCAGCAGTTGCCTCCCGTAGAGCTCCAGGACGCTCTCCAAGACGTAGAACTGCGTCCACACGCGGTTCGGCAACAACGGCGGGATAAACTTTTTAGCGCTGTTTTTTTTTATACGTATATCGCCGAGTTTTGGCAAACTCTGTTGTTGTTGTTGTGTTTAGTTTGTTGTCCTTCCCCCGCACCTGCGATTAGCACGGTTGGCTGCGTACAGTGGTGCGAAAGAAGTTGAACATACAAACACAGACTCACACATCGACCCATAGACTCACACAGAGACCCGTAGATTCATGCAGAGACCCATAGACTCAAACAGAGACCCACAGACTCACACAGAGACCCACAGACTCACACAGAGACCCACAGACTCACACAGAGACCCATAGACCCACACAGAGACCCATAGACTCACACAGAGACCCACAGACTCACACAGAGACCCATAAACTCACACAGAGGCCCATAGACTCACACAGAGGCCCATAGACTCACACAGAGACCCACAGACTCATAACAGAGACCCATAGACTCACACAGAGACCCACAGACTCATAACAGAGACCCATAGACTCACACAGAGACCCACAGACTCATAACAGAGACCCATACATTCAGACATAAACCCATAGACTCAAACTGAGACCCATAGACTCAAACAGAGACCCATAGTTTGTTGTCCTTCTCCCGCACCTCCGATTTGCGTGGTTGGCTACGTACGGTGGTGCGAAAGAAGTTCAACATACATCCACACACGTACGTATGTTGACGCTTGTTGAACTGTTGGACACAGTCAAGCCTCGCCGCGTGTCTCATGGCACTCTCTGAACAGGGTGCTGCTAAGTTGTCAGAGTAGGGGGCGATGATTGTTAGCTGTGCTAGTGCTGGGTAATGTTGATGATGTTTGACATCTTGACGTCAAATTTCGATGCCACTAATTCTTTAATGTACACTGTGACGCAGATGCCGCGTATTTCACAGCTGATGGTTACAGAAAGAAGATTGTGATGATGACGATGACAGTGATGATAGCAATGATGATGATGATGGCGGTAGTAGTGATGATGACGACGACGGCAGTGATGACGATGGTCGTGATGATGGTAGTTGTGATGGTAGTGATGATGACGATGACAGTGATGATGATGATGATGATAGCAGTGATGATGATGATGATGACGGTAGTAATGATGATGATGACGACGGTAGTGACGACGATGGTCGTGATGATCATAGTGATGATGGTAGAGATGATAGTGATGATGGTAGTGGTGACGATGGTCGTGATGATGATAGTGATGACGGTAGAGATGATAGTGATGATGGTAGTGGTGACGATAGTAGTGATGACGATGGTCGTGATGATGATAGTGATGATGGTAGAGATGATAGTGATGATGGTAGTGGTGACGATGGTCGTGATGATGGTAGTGGTGAAGATGGTAGTGATGACGATGGTCGTGATGATGATAGTGATGATGGTAGAGATGATAGTGATGATGGTAGTGATGACGATGGTCGTGATGATGATAGTTGTGAAGATGGTAGTGATGACGATGGTTGTAATGATGGTAGTTGTGATGGTAGTGATGATGACAGTGATGATGGCAATGATGATGACGACGACGGCAGTGATGACGATGGTCGTGATGATGATAGTTGTGAAGATGGTAGTGATGACGATGGTAGTGATGATGATAGTGATGATGGTAGAGATGATAGTGATGATGGTAGTGATGACGATGGTAGTGATGATGATAGTGATGATGGTAGAGATGATAGTTGTGAAGATGGTAGTGATGACGATGGTAGTGATGACGGTAGTGGTGATGATGGTAGTGATGTTGACGATGACAGTGATGATGATGATGGCAGTGATGATGATGATGATGATGACGATGGTAGTGATGACGATGGTAGTGATGACGGTAGTGGTGATGATGGTAGTGATGTTGACGATGACAGTGATGATGATGATGGCAGTGATGATGATGATGACGATGGTCGTGATGACGATGGTAGTGATGACGGTAGTGGTGATGAGGGTAGTGATGTTGACGATGACAGTGATGATGATGATGGCAGTGATGATGATGATGACGATGGTAGTGATGACGGTAGTGGTGATGATGGTAGTGATGTTGACGATGACAGTGATGATGGCAGTGATGATGATGATGATGATGACGATGGTAGTGATGACGATGGTAGTGATGACGGTAGTGGTGATGATGGTAGTGATGTTGACGATGACAGTGATGGCAGTGATGATGATGACGCTGGTCGTGATGACGACGATGACGACGGCAGCGCTGACGATGAGAGCGCTCACGTGGAGCCGTGCTCGGGGCCACCGGCGGGCCTGCGCCACGGTCTTGAGGAGATGACGCCCGTCCGAGGCCCCGGCCACCAGCACGTGCAGCTCGGGCAGACCGTCAGGTCCGCCGCTCCGGCGGCCCTCCATGCTGCTGCTGTGGCCTGTCCAGAGAGAGGGAGACACGCGGCGGCAAAGACAAAGTTCACCCGTATGGCCTTAAGGGGCCGTCCATAAATGACGTCACGCAATTAGGTGGGGAGGGGGGGGGGGGTCAGACATTTGTGACGATGTGTGACGAGGGGGGGGGGGGGGGTTTGAGAAATGTGACGGCACATCAAAATGCGGCAACTTTTAATAAATATAGACAACACGTTCTACTTAATTAAATAGACTTTCTAATAAATGTTTTCTCCTACAACATCAGAGTGCAGCGCCACATTAAATACGCACTACAATGACAATAGTTTAAAGCGATTTGAACCATGGTTTTATATATTTTTTTGGGGGGGGGGCAGAGCTTTGTGACGTCATATTTGAGGGGGGTCTGACTTTTTGGTGACGAAGGGGGGTGGGGGTCAAAAATCGTCCAAAATCGCGTGACGTCATTTATGGACGGCCCCTAACCCCCTTATTCTTGTGCAGGGAAGTTGAGTTTTGAGGTCTATGCGACGTACAGCCGTTTCAATGCGGGCAGCACCACAAAGTGTTTGTGTCTGTTGTGTGTCTCTCCCTTGTGGTGATGGGACTTTGTAGGATGAACGTTGAGATTTATAAGGGGGCACGGGGTGACCGATAAGGTCTCTGACTTGGTCTGTCGTCAGGTAGGGGTTGACCGGTATGCGCCCGAGTACCGATACGCACAAAGAGACACAAAGTGTTTGTGTCTATATGTGTGTGTCTCTCCCTTGTGGTGATGGGACTTTGTAGGATGAACGTTGACATTTATAAGGGGGCACGGGGTGACCGATAAGGTCTCTGACTTGGTCTGCCGTCAGGTAGGGGTTGACCCGAGTACCGATACGCGCCAGCGACGACAACGTTCAACACACGTCCGGCATCCCACCAGCCACGTTCGATCCACTGCTGGATGGACGAACCTTGCATCTGGAAGTCCAGCGCCGGGCTGAGCCCCCACCACGTGGCCCACCCCAATCCATCGCCCGCCGAACCCGCCGCCGCCGCCATCGCCTCCCGTGTGGCTCGCCGAGGTCGATGTCGCCCCAACTCAGACGGAACCCACGGGGCCCACGAGACCACTCCTGCTGCTGCTCCTCCTGCTGCTCCTGCTGTTCCTGCTGCTCCTCCTGCTCCTGCTCCTACTCCTCCTGCTCCTGCTGCTCCTGCTGCTCCTCCTGCTCCTGCTGCTCCTCCTGCTCCTGCTCCTCCTGCTGCTCCTGCTGCTCCTCCTGCTCCTGCTGCTCCTCCTGCTCCTCCTGCTGCCACTGCTACTGCTCCTGCTGCAGGCCGCAGGGACACCTCGGCCCCTTACACGGCGAGACGCGTTGCCACGGCGACGAGGCAGGCACGCGGACGCGGTGACGTCGTCACGCGCTAACGCGGTGACGTCGCGCGCAGGGGCGGTGACGTCGTCGCGCGCAGGTGCGGTGACGTCGTCGCGCGCAGTTGCGGTGACGTCGTCGCGCGCAGGGGAGGTGACGTCGTCGCGCGCAGGTGCGGTGACGTCGTCGCGCGCAGGGGCGGTGACGTCGTCGCGCGCAGGGGCGGTGACGTCGTCGGGCGCAGGTGCGGTGACGTCGTCGCGCGCAGGTGCGGTGACATTCGAGGCGTAGAGGTTGCGTGATGACGTCACCGCGTTCCCTGCAAGCCGCGGCGTGACGTCACCGCGGCGTGTGCGTGATGACGTCGCCGCGAGAGACGTAACGAGTTCCGAGGTTAACTCTATTTTTCTGTATCCTGCAGAAATCCGATGAGCTATAAATATATTTTTTTCCCCTCACAGATGTCCAGTCCCGACCCTGTATTTGGAGTCTCCTCTCTCATCATCATCATCGTCACGGTGGCTATGAGATGTTAACTACCTCGCCTGGTATACAGGATGTCATGGGTTCGAGCCTGACCCTGACAACAACGCCTGCCGGAGGGGTTGGCAGGTGTCCCTTACGGAACCTTGTTTATAGTTTAACTAGCTTTATTACTACCCGGATTTGCCCGGGACTTGGATTCACCACGCCCGGCCGCCTTTGTCTCCCCAGTGGCGATGTTCACACACCGCAGCAGTTACTCGTTTTGAGGCTGAGTCGACCTAGGGGAGGCCCAGGACCGGTTAAAATAAACGTCACCGGTGGTGGCCGTGAGCGGAAATCGAACTCGGGTCGAGCGGGTTCATAGTGCAGCGTAGCGCTAACCGCTACACTACCGCTCCCCCCACACACACACAGATACACACACACAGATATACACACAAAGATACACACACAGAGACACACACACAGATACACACACACAAATATATACACACAAAGATACACACACAGAGACACACACACAGACACACACACAGACACACAGAGACACACAAACACACAGACAGACACAAACACAGACACACACACAGACACACACACACAGACAGCGCGCTAACCACTACACTATCGCTCCCCACAGATACACATACACAGATACACACACACAGATATACACACAAAGATACACACACAGAGACACACAGACACACACACAGACACACAGAGACACACAGACACACACAGACAGCGCGCTAACCACTACACTACAATGCGTTACGCTTCCACACGCGCGGGTCACGTGATAGATTTGACGTCACAGGTCACTTGCCGTGCAAAAAATAAATGCATTATTGAGCTCCCCCCCCCCTAAAAAAAACTAAAAGTGTATTTTTATAATGTTTGCATGGTGTACAGTCTGGAAAGTACCCACATGCAAAATTTCAAGTTTGTTGCATGTCGGGAAGTACGCTAAACATTTTGAACAGACACACATTCACAACTTTGCCTTTTATATATGGAGAATATGGAGATATGCAGATGGAGATAACATGTAGGCTTTTGCGACCAATATCATCCATAACAGTTTTTTTTGGTAAGATCGCGTAAATATATAAATGTTGTGTCGTTAAAACCCGCCACCACCCGACACAGCCAACTAGTAAGGGTTGTCACGTAACCAGAACGTGGCCAGTTCGTCACTAGTACAGCACGAACCGATTGTGTGTCGGAGCGCCAAGTCACCACCACGTGTCGCTTTGCCCTTCCACACTTTTGTAACCAGCAGATGGCAGCAGAAAACAGCAGTAGGAGGCGACGTGCCAGAGTGGTCCACATGTATTGTGACCCCCCCCCCACCACCACCACCACCAATGAATTATACTCCGAATATGCTTTTTTCCCACCGCTTATTAATTTATCTTTTAAATAAACCTCACTTGGAAAATATTAAGGGGGGGGGGGGGTAACGAGACATCTGGACCGCCCTGTATTGTGCTATTTGATTGCTTTACCACGTTCTGGTAAACACGTACCGCTCACTCGGTGAGTTGACCGCTGGGACAATCCTCGCCACCACCACCGCCGCCACCACCAAAATCGATCAGCAATCAGATGCGTGTCGGGTGGCGGCGGCGGAGGGGATCTCACGACACAACATTAGCGCGATCATTAGCGACTTGACCTCAGCATATTTTGTTCCTAAAAGCTGTCGCTGTTCCCTTGTCTCGTCAAGTGTGACTGCCTGGTCAGCCAACAACGAAAGATCTCCACCCCCCCCCCCCCTGCATGGCCTTCGACTGACTGTTGCGGCAAAAGTTGCCGTAAGCGAGCCGCCTTCGCGCGATCAGTTGCACGCGACCGCCTCTTCTTACAACCCCGGCGATCCGCGAGAGAGACGTCCGGTTGCGCACAACCCGAATCGCTCGTAATGTGGGCGTCTCCGCAACCAGTTGCGAGCAATTGCGAGCAGTTGCTCACAACTGGAATTGTTTTTTTTTGGTTTTTAAACACGCATGTAGAATTAAAGAGCGGACAAAGGCTTTCGTTTTGGCTTAGGCTGCGGGATTAAAGACTTCACGGACCGACGGTCAAACTCCAAGCATTGCCGACCAGACCGAGCGTGATTCGAATTGCCGTTTTGGCCCAACGTTTTGGCAACGTTTGGCATCCCCGGCAACGGCTGGTGGCCACGGTCGGCCTCGGCGGTGACGCTCGTGCCAAGAAGGTGGCGTGGGTTCCACTCTACAGAGTGGAGTGGAGTTTGTGTGATCTCTCCCTGTTCTACAGAGTGAGTGAGTGGAGTTTGTGTGATCTCTTCCTGTTCTACAGAGTGAGTGAAGTTTGTGTGATCTCCCCCTGTTCTACAGAGTGAGTGGAGTTTGTATGATATCCCACTGTTCTACAGAGTGAGTGAGTGGAGTTTGTGTGATCTCCCCCTGTTCTACAGAGTGAGTGGAGTTTGTATGATCTCCCACTGTTCTACAGAGTGAGTGAGTGGAGTTTGTATGATCTCCCCCTGTTCTACAGAGTGAGTGGAGTTTGTGTGATCTCCCCCTGTTCTACAGAGTGAGTAGAGTTTGTGTGATCTCCCACTGTTCTACAGAGTGAGTGAGTGGAGTTTGTGTGATCTCCCCCTGTTCTACAGAGTGAGTGAGTGGAGTTTGTATGATCTCCGACTGTTCTACAGAGCGGTCAGGCGTGGTGCTGGCCACCCACCCCCTTCCTTGTACTGTGCCCGCCTTCATAGGTGCCACACGCCAACAGCGCTTGCCCCAAAAGTCTGCTAAGACTATACGGGGGATCTTTGCCTTTAGCTTGAGTGGTGAATTATTCTTTTTACACGACTGACAAGGCGCGCGATGTAAATGGGCAGCAGCTGCCTCACTCGAGAGGACGATCCAGGGAAAACCAGGACAGATGGCAACCCGATCACTCACCCAGCCACTCACCCCACCCACTCACTCTCTCACTCACCATCTCATTCACCCAGCCACTCACCCTCTCACTCACTCACCCAGCCACTCACCCTCTCACTCACTTACCCAGCCACTCACCCTCTCACTCACCCAGGCACTCACCCTCTCATTCACTCACCCAGCCACTCACTCTCTCACTCACCCTCCCACTCACTCACCCAGCCACTCACCCTCTCACTCACTCACTCACCGAGCCACTCACCCTCTCACCCAACCCACTCACCCTTTCACTCACTCACCCAGCCACTCACCCCACCCACTCACCCTCTCACTCACTCACCCAGCCACTCTCTCACTCACCGAGCCACTCACCCTCTCACTCACTCACTCACCCAGCCACTCTCTCACTCACCCAGCCACTCACCCTCTCACTCACTCACTCACCCAGCCACTCACCCTTTCACTCACTCACCCAGCCACTCACTCACTCACCCAGCCACTCACTCTCTCACTCACACTCACTCACCCAGCCACTCACCCTCTCACTCACTCACCCAGCCACTCACCCCACCCACTCACCCTCTCACTCACTCACCCAGCCACTCACTCTCTCACTCACCCAGCAACTCACCCTCTCACTCACTCACCCAGCCACTCACCCTCTCACTCACTCACCCAGCCACTCACTCACCCTCTCACTCACTCACCCAGCCATTCACTCACTCACCCAGCCACTCACCCTCTCACCCACTCACCCTCTCACCCATTCACCCAGCCACTCACCCTCTCACCCCACCCACTCACCCTCTCACTCACCCAGCCACTCACCCTCTCACTCACTCACCCAGCCACTCACCCCACCCACTCACCCTCTCACTCACTCACCCAGCCACTCACTCACTCAGTCACTCACTCTCTCACTCACCCAGCCACTCACCCTCTCACTCACTCACCCACCCACTCACCCTCTCACTCACTCACCCAGCCACTCACTCACTCAGTCACTCACTCTCTCACTCACCCTCTCACTCACTCACCCAGCCACTCACCCAGCCACTCACCCTCTCACTCACTCACTCACCCTCTCACTCACTCACCCAGCCACTCATCCTCTCACTCACTCACCCAGCCACTCACCCTTTCACTCACTCCCCCAGCCACTCACCCTCTCACTCACCCAGCCACGCACTCACCCATCCACCCAGCCACGCACTCACCCATCCACCCAGCCAAACACCAACTCACACTAACCCGCTGAACCACCCCCACGCAGCCACCCACCCACTCACAAACCTACTCCCCCACCACTCTCACCTACTCACCGACCCACTCACACTCATTAACCACTTATCCACCCACTTAATCACCCACCCACTTACAAACACTTATCAATGCACCACACAGTCACCTGTACCCACTCACAATAATTCACGTATCCACCCACACTCTCACCTACTCACCGACCCACTCACTCATTAACCACTTATCCACCCACTCAGTCACCCACCCATTTACAAACACACTTATCAATGCATCACACAGTCACCTGTACCCACTCACCATAATCCACGTATCCACTCACCCTCTCACTCACGCTCTCACCTACTCACCCACCACCTCCCCTCTCACTCGCCCACCCACCCACACTAACCCACGAATCCACCCACCACCTCCCCTCTCACTCGCCCACTTACCACCCAGCCACCCACCTTCTCACCCACCCACACTAACCCACTTATCCACCCACCCACCTCCCCTCTCACCCACCCACCCCCCACCCATACTAATCCACTAACCCACTAATCCCTCCACCACAGTACACGCCAGTGCGTCGTCGTCACCTTTAAAGTGCCGGGAGGACAGGAGAGTGAGAACTATCACAGGACAGAGGCCAAACTAACAACAAAACCCCGAGGACTTTCAATCTCCCCCGGGGTAGATGTCTCTGGACGGAGCAGCAGCGGCTTCCTCTTCAACAGGGCGGACGATGTTGATAATGACGATGTTAATTATGCTAATCGTGATGCTAATGACGATGTTAATTATGCTAATCGTGATGCTAATGACGATGTTAATGATGCTGATGACGATGCTAATGACGATGTTAATGTTATGACGATGCTAATGACGATGCTCATGACGATGTTATGCTAATGACAATGCTAATGACGATGTTAATTATGCTAATGACGATGCTAATGACGATGCTAATGACGATATTAATGATGCTAATGACGATGATAATGGCGATGTTAATGATGCTTATGACGATGCTAATGACGATGATAATGGCGATGTTAATGATGCTTATGACGATGCTAATGACGATGCTAATGACGATGTTAATGCTAATGACGATGCTACTACCTCTTCAACAAGGAGTACGATGATGATGCTGGCAGGAACCCGTCTATGAATGAAGGGGGAGACGTTCCCCCGTTTCAACAGAACCTCGCCTCTTGCAGCGTTATTTTGTTTTCTCTCTTAGAGGCTGCGCCCCAAGGGTTTATCGCCCGAGCTGTTTAAATGTCAAAGGCGGCGTGGCAGGTTCGTTTCGGGATGATTGTTTTATCTCTTTAAAAATAAAATTGAACCCCAGCCCCCCCCCCTCTTTCTCTCACCCCCACGCCCACCCCCCGATGTGACAAGCGACGTTGTGGGTCGCAGTGACCGGCAAATGCCCGCAGAGAAAAGGGACCGTCCATAAATGACGTCACGCACCTGGGGGGAGGTGAGAAATGTGACGTCACGTCAAAATACGCAACTATAGACAACACCTTTGGTTCTTTCGGTAAAGTCACGTAGAATGAGAATAAAATAATAAATTGATTAAATAAAATAACAATTTATTATTTTATTCTCATTCTACGTGACTTTACCGAAAGAACCAAAGAAGATGAATCATTGCAGTCACGAAAGCTTTAAATCGAAATATAGACAACACGTTCTACTTAATTAAATAGACTTTTTAATGAATGTGTTCTCCTACATCAGAGTGCAGCGCCATATTAAATACGCACTACAATGTGACAATAGTTTAAAGCGAATTGAAGCATGTTTTTTTTGGGGAGGGGGGGGCAGAGCTTTGTGACGTCATATTGAGGGGGGGGGTCTGACTTTTTGTTACGCCGTGTGACTACGGGAGGGGGGGGTCAAAAATCGTCCATCGCGTGACGTCATTTATGGACGACCCCAAAAGACGTGGAGAGGGGGGAGGTTTGTTGACAGAAAGAAAACAAAAACACGCGAGGGCTCCCATCCCATCGCGGCCCACCAACCCCGCCGAGGAGTTGCGAGAGAGCCGGCCAAGCCGCACGCGCCTGGTCCCTGGCGTCCTTGCGATGTCTGCGATGGAGAATCCGAGAGTCGACGACAGAGCAGAGACCCCCCCCCCCCACTCCTTCCTCCTCCTCCCCTCCTCCTCCTCTCATCCTTGGGGGCATCGCTCCTGCCGCACCCATTCGCCTCCTGCCCTCCAACAGCCACCACCACCCCGCCCCCACCTCCTCCACCCCCTGCCACTCCCCTCCTCCCCCACCCCCTGCACCTCCTCCACACCCTGCACCTCCTCCACCCCCTGCACCTCCCCTCCTCCCCCACCCCCTGCACCTCCTCCACACCCTGCACCTCCTCCACCCCCTGCACCTCCTCTCCCCCTGCACCTCCTCCACCCCCCCACCTCTCCTCCTCCTCCACCCCACTACTCCACCTCCTCCTCCACCCCCTGCACCTCCTCCTCCACCCCCCCTCCACCTCCTCCTCCATCCACCCCCCACCTCCACCCCCCTACTCCACCTCCCCTCCTCCTCCACCCCCTGCACCTCCCCCCCCCCACCTCCTCCTCCATCCACCCCCCTACTCCATCTCCCCTCCTCCTCCACCCCCTGCACCTCCTCCTCCACCCCCCTACTCCTCCTCCATCCACCCCCCCTCCTCCACCCCCCACCCCCGCGAGGCCCGCCTGTGACGCGCAGGCCGAGACCTGCGCGTCACGCGGGGCACGTGGCAGCTTGCGGAGCGTCGACGGCTTCGAGCGAGGAGTCACGAGGCCGCTCCTCGTACACGCGCGTGCTTGAGTGCGCGTGCGTGTGTGTATGTGAGTGCGCATGCGCAGTGTGCGCGTGTGTGTGTGTACGCGTGCGTGCGTGTGTACGCGTGCGTGCGTGTGTACGCGTGCGTGCGCAGTGTGCGCGTGTGTGTGTACGCGTGCGTGTGTACGCGTGCGTGCGCGTGCGTGCGTGTGTACGCGTGCGTGCGTACGCGTGCGTGCGTACGCGTGCGTGCGTACGCGTGCGTGCGTACGCGTGCGTGCGTACGCGTGCGTGCGTGCGTACGCGTGCGTGCGTGCGTGTGTACGCGTGGAGCGCCCTCGTGCGAGTCGCCCCCGAGGAGAGGTCGCCACAGGCCGGGGGTGTGGCCGAGCCTGCGGCTCCGTTCCTCGCTTCGCCGTGGTGGTTGTGGCGAGTTGAAGGTGGTGTGGTGGCGGTGGTTGTTGTCGTGGTGGGCGTGCGTGTGTGGGGGAGGGGGGTGCGGGGAGCGGTGGCGCAGTGGTTAGCGCGACGCTGCGCTACGAACGCGGCGGTGGGAGTTTGATTCCCGCTCGCGGCTGACACCGGCGATGAATGTCTGAGCCGGCGCCCCCCCCCTCCCCCCTCCTAGGTTGACTCAGCCTAAAATGAGTACCTGGTGTGATGTGTAAACATCGCCACTTGGGGAGACAAAGGTGGTCGGGCGTGGTGCTGGCCCTGACGGCACCTGCTGCTGTTTATTTGGAGTTTGCGTCTCTCATCATCACCATCACTACGGTGGCTAGATGTTAACTACCTCGCCTGGTATGCAGGAGGTCGCAGGTTCGATGCCGACACCAACGCCTGCTGCTGTACACTTGGGAGTTTGCGTCTCTCATCATCATGGTCGCGTGGATTTGTCTCGGGATTTCCGCCCCCACCATATTTAGAATCAGCGTCAGGCGTTTAGAGTAATTGTCTACTGCTGTGATTTCCACACGTTGACGACGACGACGATGTCGACGATGATGATGAGCGCACTTCGTCGAGATATCATTTGTGATAGCTGGGGTCGCTTCTGAGCTCCAGCATAGCTCAGCGGGGGGCCTTACACAGCTGGCAGAATGGAAAAAAAATAGTTTAGTTTTTAGACTATACTAAAAAAAATTACATTTATTTGATTTATACCAACGTGATGACTTCACCGAAAGAACCACAGACTACGGATTCCTGCAGTCACGAAAGCTTCAAATCAAGAATGTTTTTAGACTTTCCCCCCCTCCCCCCCACCTGTCTTGACCTTTCGGGTCAAGTTCTATTTCGCCCTCGGGTCACGGGGCACCTAACTTTAAAACGTTCCAAAAATAAACAGAAACTCAAGGCAACGTTTTGGTTGCCCCCTTCAGGGTCACACGCAAGCACGCACAAAACAGCACCGTGCAAACAAACGCATGCATCATTTATATGCTTTAAACTTTAAAGATTCATCGAGAGTCGAGTTTCTCAAAAAATAAAACGGCAAAGGCACTTTCTTTTCTTGCTCGCCGCAAAGCAACATGTGCGGTTGCGCGGTTGCGTTTCTATACATGTGTACTCTCCCGTTACTCAGCATATCGGTAGAGTTCCTTTCTTATAAAAACACTCACTTTAAAAGTTTGTTCCGAGGCGGCTCGGCCGGCAACGCTGGCTGGCTCGGCTTTGCTCGCTTCGCTCGAGACCGGCCGCTCCTTGCGAAACCGCTTAAATAAGATTTAACATCCGGGCAAGAAGGCCGTGTCCGGAGCCACCGTCACCAAAAGAAGTGGATGCGTTTTGTCATTTTGCGTGCCCTAACGTGGACGACCGTGGCGAAATCGGAGGCGCGACGGGGAGGGGGGCAGGACAACAAATTAAACACCACAACAACATCGCCGACGAGCAGTTCGAAAGAAATAAAGTTGGGATAACGTGGCCATCCCGTGGATAGAGGTGAAACAAAGACACGCGCACCCTGGGGAATGCACGTAGAACTTCTTTCGCGCCGTACCTGGCCAATCGTGCTAACCGGAGGTGCGACGGGGGGAGAAAGGACAACTCAACACAACGACGATTAGTTCTCAAGGACTGAGTTGGGATAACGGGGCCCATCGCATGGATAGAAGTGAAACAAAGACACGCGCACCCTGGGGAATGCACGTACCAAGTCATTTAGCACCGTACGTAGCCAAACGCGCTAACCGGCTGCATCCTCACCGCGACTCATCAGCACAGTCACGAATTGTTAGCCGCTGTCACGCGCCTCTGGGAGCCCCACGTGTGGAGAAGGCTCCGGCCATTATACTCCGGGAACCCCGCTCGCAAACGGCCTTGGGGCAACGACCAAACTAAATCTGCAAACGACGATAAACTAATACGACAATAGGGCACATTCAGTTCTTTTGAGTCGGCGGTCTTGACAAGGCTGAGGATGTCGCCGAGTGAACCTCAGAAAGCTGATTTGACGTCGCTAGGCAGACATTCTCAAGTTGCCAGCAACGCCGGTTGACGACTGACCCAGCATTACCGCATTCTCCAGATTACATTAGGCACTTGCTTCCTGTATTCCAGAGGAAACTTTGGTGGTGCGCCTTGCAATCCGGCAGATATGCGTGTTTGCGTGTACACGTGCGTGGGCGTACACGTGTGTGTGCGTACACGTGTGTGCGTGCGTGACCTGATCCGTGTAACTTCATCTCTGACTGGGAACATATTTGGGGCGTTTCTTTACGGGAAGTGTTATACCATACGGAGAATGTGGGGACAAAAGTAAAATGATACAGAATCCTTGAGGGATAACTTATTTGGAAACCATGTCGCTCGACAATATTTCCGCGTAGTATTACACATGGTAGACTGATAAACATCAAAATTTTTGTTGCTATCGAAACTCGGAAAGTTGTTTAAATCTAGTGCCAAAAAATTGCTCGGTTGGCAACACTGGTCCGGCCTGTTCTAGGCTTCGGCAGGCCAGGCTTAGGCTGAGCTTGGCTTTGCTAGGCTGGGATGGGCTCGGCTGGGCTAGACTTTTCTGGTTTGAGATGGGCCAAGCCAGACCGGGCGAGGCTTTAGGCCAGACCTTGGCCAGGCTAAAGCTTGCCGGGACAATCTTGACCCAACTAGCCCGGCCGAGGCTTTGCTGGCCTGGGCTGGGCTGGTACCGAGACGCTGGCAAAACTTCTCAGTAAGGGCTGTCGTTGCGGATGGCACAGCAGACGGCCATGCTGAATATCATGCCGAAGATCTGCAAAAAGAAAAAAGACATCGCACGCACACACGCACACACACACACGCACACACGCACACACACGCACACACACGCACACACGCAACGAGCCACGTCATCCACCCAGCTTCCCCACTGCACGAGGCACTTGGATTTTCGAGCGGTGAAGTCGGAGCGATGAAATCGTACCAGGAACACGACAATAAAAATGCGCGGCCACCGCGTACAGAAGTGAGCAGGATGGGGCCAGGGGTTGCCACCTCTTGAGATACAAACAGCTGGGAGGTGATTACGGATATCTCACAATTCCGCAAGAGGTCGGAACCGCACGTGGGGGCGTCATCTTGCACGGTGGCTAGGAGATTTTAACTACCTCGCCTGGTGTGCAGGAAGTCGTGGGTTCAATCCCGACCTTGAAGCCTGCTGTATATTTGGAGTTTGCGTGTCTCTCTCTCTGTCATCATCATTACGATGGCTAGGAGATGTTAACTACCTCATCTGGTATGCAGGAGGTCGTGGGTTCAATCCCGACCTTGAAGCCTGCTGCTGTATATTTGGAGTTTGCGTGTCTCTCTCTCTCTCTGTCATCATCATCACGGTGGCTAGGAGATGTTAATTCCCTCGCCTGGTGTACAGGAGGTCCGTGAGTTCGATTCCGACCCTGGAGCCTGCTGCTGCTGCTGTATATTTGGAGTTTGCGTGTCTCTCTCGCTCCCCGTGGTTGTGTGGATTTTTTTGTTCGGGTCCTCCGTTATTTTCCATTCCACATTTATAATCAACGTCACGCGTTCACGGTATTTGGCCGCTATCAATTTCCACACGATGATGATGACGACGACGAGCCACTTGGCTGAGCTATCATTTGCGATAGCCAGGTCGCTCCGGAAAAAGAGCAGCATCGCTCAGCGGGGCATGGCCTCGTTCAATTTCCGCGATGGTCTAGCCCTTGTTGATCGTATATCCCTTTTAGTTTCTACCGCACGACGTTTGTAGTCCTTGCTGTTGGTATTGCTATCGCGGTTGTTGTCGTCGGTTCCGGGCGAGAGCCCCCCCACCCCCCCCCCCCCCCCCCCCCCCGTGTGCTCACCATGATGACCGCCACCCCCAGCGCCAGGCCGGCCACGATGTACACCTTCGTCCCGAGGAAGCTGCGGATTTCGTCCACGCAGTTCTGCGGCGAGCGAGCAAAAGAAGGAAGTAAAGAGCGTACGTGGGTACGCACACACGCACGTACACACACGTACACACACACGTACACACACGTACACACACGTACACGCACGTACACGCACACACATACACGTACACGCACACACACACGTACACGCACGTACACGCACACACGCACGTACACACACGTACACGCACACACACACACGTACACACACGTACACACACACGTACACACACGTACACACACACGTACACACACGTACACGCACACACACACGTACACGCACGTATACACACGCACATATACACGCACGTACACGTACATGCACGTACACACACACACGCACATATACACGCACGTACACGTACACGCACATACACACACGCACGTACACACACGCACGTACACACACGCGCACACACGCGCACACACGCACGCACACACACGCACACACACGCGTGTTTACATCACGTGTTTACATGCGTGGCGCTCAAGACAACATGCATTTTTGTCCTCGCAAGCGCTCACAGTTGAAGGAGTGTTGGCAGTCGTTCTCATGTCACCGCCCAATGAGACTTCGCCAATCTGGTCAGTGCGATACAACCTGAGCAGTGGGCGGGGCTACCTGAGTCATGGCGGAGGCTACCAGAGCAGTGGGCGGCGGCTACCTGAGCAGTGGGCAGGGCTACCTGAGCAGTGGGCGGGGCTACCAGAGCAGTGAGCGGGGCTACCAGAGCAGTGGGCGGGGCTACCTGAGCAGTGGGCAGGGCTACTTGAGCAGTGGGCGGGGCTACCAGAGCAGTGAGCGGGGCAACCTGAGAAGTGGGCGTGGGCTACCAGCGCAGTGGGCGGGGGTACTTGCACAGTGGGCGGGGCTACCTGAGCAGTGGGCGGGGCTACCCGAGCGGTAGGCGGGGGGGGCTCACAGCATGGGGAGGCCTTCATGAACTGAATGAACTTCATCAGTGTATTTGTCGTGACATAGAATGGGTCGTCTGAGGACACAGCAGCCCGACTATCTAGGAGGGCACGTGATAGGCCGTGGTAAAAGCTAGGGTGACAGAGGGAACACGTGGGATATAGCCGTGAACCTTCTGGAGGGGGTCCAGAAGAGGGCGTGGCCGAGGGCGGAGTCAGGCCACGCTGAGGGGCATAAAAGGAAGGTCCCGACGCTGAGTCGGGGCTGTTTGTCGTCTGGAGCGGAACCCTTCGGCTACGTCACTGCCTTGCGCCTCGTCTTCGTCTCCTCGGCGTCATAGGTCAGGCAGCGTGCCGGCTGTCCTGACCTGCTGTAGTTATCCCCTGTGCCCGTGAGGGCTACAATAAACTCATATGCCTCCTAATAGGAGTGTCTCTGAATTGATGCACTATGTGACGACAGTTACCTTGGTGTACTCCGGTGGACAGGAGTACGTCGACAACAGGCTTGTGTAGTTGAGATTCGGCTGCCCGCAGCAATCCAGCTGTGAACGACAGGTCACATAGCACACCACGGCTGTTAATCACAGGTCACATGACACACCACGGCTGTGAATCATAGGTCACATGACACACCACGGCTGTGAATCACAGGTCACATGACACACCACGGCTGTCAATCACAGGTCACATGACACACCACGTCGGTCAATCACAGGTCACATGACACCACGTCTGTCGATTACAGGTCACATGACACACCATGGCTGTCAATCACAGGTCACATGACACACCACGTCTGTCAATCACAGGTCACATGACACACCACGGCTGTCGATTACAGGTCACATGACACACCATGGCTGTCGATTACAGGTCACATGACACACCACGGCTGTCGATTACAGGTCACCTGACACACTACGGCTGTCGATTACAGGTCACATGACACACCACGGCTGTCGATTACAGGTCACATAGCACACCACGTCTGTTAATCACAGGTCACATAACACACCACGGTTGTCAATCACAGGTCACATAACACACCACGTCTGTCAATCACAGGTCACGTGACACCACATCTGTCAATCACAGGTCACATGACACACCACATCTGTCAATCACAGGTCACATGACGCACCACGGCTGTCGATTACAGGTCACATGACACACCACGGCTGTCGATCACAGGTCACATGACGCACCACGTCTGTCGATCACAGGTCACATGACACACCACGGCTGTCGATTACAGGTCACATGACACACCACGGCTCACAGGTCACGTGGGCACTCTCAATTCTTGCATACCGACTGGGCGGCGTGGAAGAGTCGGCCAAACACCCACGAGAGGGAGCTCTAGCGGAGCGAGAAATTGCGGGGGGCCACTCCTTTACCTCTCCCTAATTTGCAAGTGGTGCACGTCGCACAGCGCGACTTCCTGCTGATCAAAGGATCCAGCCGTGCAGAGCCGACGCTGGAAATTCCACATTAATATGGTCGGGGGAGCAATGCAGCTCCGTCGGACAAACCCATGTCGATCTTCCCCCCCCCCCCCCCCGCGACCTGGTGACTATTTTATCGACCCCGGCGGAAGGGATGATGGGCTGAGTCAGCGGAGACCACCAATCCGGAACTGAACTCGCAACCCCCGTTTCGGAGCCGCTTGCTGAGCCACCCTGCCCGGTAAACATGGAACTGTTGGGCCAACGTTGGGCCAACGTTGGGGCCAAAGTTGACCCACAACGTTGTTGGCATGTTTACCGGTTGGCCAACTTAGTGACTCATGAAAGGGGTGGGGGAATGTAATTTTTTTATCGCCATATTTGGAATTCCGAATAAGTGACAGCTTCTGTAAAAAAAAACCACACGACAAATATATAATAAATTATACTGGTAGGAACGAAGTTGTAAACTGAGTGTACCAGCCTGCAATAGATTAATGCGTCCGTCCGTCCGTCCCCTTTCAATACTTTAACGAAGTGAAATCTCGTGCTGTTGGGTGTAAAATCAGCAATGGACAGCGCAGAGACTTGTCCTACCAGCCCACCCTACAGGGACCTGTTTTACAACCGACGTGGGGGGGTTGGTGGGTGATTGGGTGGGGGGGTTGGGGGAACGTTCGCAACAAGTCCGTCCGGTTTTCGTCGGGAACCGGAATCGAACCCGGGCCTCTGGGCGCCAAAAGGCCGCTGCCACAACAGTGCACGGCTCCTCCCTGCGGTTAGCGCTCGACAGCGACCACCAGGCCTCAGATGGGAACCTGACGACAGCCCCAACGAAGGTGGCCCAGTTGCCACCCCGTGCTGGGCCAAACGCGGACGCCGGTGGCAACCCTAGCCAGTGGATGGGCGCGCCGGCCCCACGCCGGCCCCACGCCGGCCCCACGCCGGCCCCGCGCCGGCCCCGCGCCGGCCCCACGCCGGCCCCACGCTGGCCCCACAATGGCCTCACGTTGGCCTGACGTTAGCCCGACTTTGGCCCCACGTTGGCCCGAAGTTTGGCCCCACGTTGGCCCGACGTTGGCCCCACGTTAGCCTGACGTTAGCCCGACGTTTGGCCCCACGTTGGCCCGACATTGGCCCCACGTTAGCCTGACGTTAGCCCTACTTTGGCCCCACGTTGGCCCGACGTGTGTCCCCACGTTGGGCCGGCATTCTACGTTTACCGAGCTCTACCGCCTTCGAGGGGACAGCTGACCGCGACGCGATGACCCCGTGTTGCCCGGTACTCGCTTCTGCGAGTCTCTGCTCGTGCCGGGCAGGTCCACACGGAGACGGTGGTGGTGGCGGTGGTGGCTGTGTGGACTCTCGCCAACTTACAATGAGCGTCTGGTCTGCCTCTCCCCCCTCGGTCTGTCCGACTGATCGTATCCATCCTTGCGTAATCCCAGACGTTTCAAGGCCGCCTGGGTTAATTTGTCTTTTTTAATATATACTCTTACGCTACTAATTACTTTTGACTGCGTACGATCAGGGTCTTGGACCCATGTCTCACGGGGGGGGGGTGAGATTGCCTGTAAACACCTGGGCAGTTCGCCAGCACGGGCTCAAGCAAGCCCCGACTCTGCTGCTGATGAGACAATGAGTTACGAAACCGCCCCTCCCCTGTAAGGGCAGTTCGCCATCATTGGATCGAAGCAAACTCCGCTCACTGGGTTGTCCCTCTGTCTGACACGGCCAGCATGAACCTCCCCGCCGTGAGAGAGTCGCCCAGAGCCAGGGCTCAAACCCAGGCCCCTGAGCAGTGGCCCGGCTCAAGTGCCTCTCAGCTCCGACGCGCGCGGACCCCACACGCGTGCTCCCATTGGTCGGCAGCTGCAGCCTCTGGCGACGTAAACACTCGTGAGCTGGCGCAAGCAAAGACAAAGGATCCGCAACCCCTGGTATAGCCTTTAACCGACTGTCGGGGCACACACACACTCACGCACACACATACACACACTCTCACACACACACACACACTTACGCACACACACACACTCTCACGCACACACACACACTCACGCACACACACACACTCTCACGCACACACACACACTCTCACGCACACACACACACTCTCACGCACACACACACACTCTCACGCATGCACACACACACTCTCACGCACGAAACAACGATCCCCCATATAGCCTTAACAGACTGTAGGGGCAAATGCTGTTAGCGAGCACCTATGAAGGCCGGAACGGTACACGAGGGGGTGGGTGGCCAGCACCACGCCCGACCGCCTTTGTCTCCCTAGTGGCAATGTCTACACACCGCACCAGGTACTCATTTCAGGCTGAGTCGACCTAGGGGAGGCCCGGGACCGGTTCAGATATTCGTCACTGGTGTTGGCCGTGAGCGGGAATCGAACCCGGGTCGCCAGGTTCATAGCGCAGCGCGCTAACCGCTACACCACCGCTCCCCTCACGCACACACACACACTCTCACGCACACACACACTCTCACGCACACACACACTCACACACACACTCTCACGCACACACACACTCTCACGCACACACACACGCACTCTCACGCACACACACGCACTCTCACGCACTCTCACACACACTCTCATGCACACACACACTCTCACGCACACACTCACACACACTCTCACTCACACTCTCACACCGGTGGTTGTAACGCTCCGAGTCCGTTCCCTTGACCCCGCGGTCGCCATGACGACTCTGGCCCATGGTAACTCATAACTGCTCCTCGCAGACAGAGTTCACTAATTATCAACAGACGGGGGGGGGGGGGGGGGTGGGGGGTGCAGGGGGGTGCCAAGTTTGCCTGGGTTCGAGTCCTGAGTCAGGGTGCGGGATAATTGGAGGTACACGTACCACGTTATGTCACGCTCTTCCTGAGCGGTCGGCCCCGCGGAACGGTACAGTACTCAGAACGGGACAGTACCCGGAATGGTACAGTACGCGGAAACAGTACAGTACTTAGAACGGGACAGTACCCAGAATGGCACAGTACGCGGAAACGGTACAGTACCCGGAAACGGTACAGTACCCGGAAACGGTACTGTACCAGGAATGGCACAGTACGCGGAAACGGTACAGTACCCGGAAACGGTACAGTACCCGGAATGGTACTGTACCAGGAATGGCACAGTATGCGGAAACGGTACAGTACCCGGAACAGTACAGTACGCGAGAACGGTACAGTACGCGACGTCGTAAAACCTCGTCTCGGTCCTTTGTTCCACATCCATGGGGACCGGGCCCGCAGGCCGATGCCACAGCGCACGCTGCGATCCGCTAACTCGCCGATTCCTCGCTTGACGCGGCGTCGCTCCGGGAGCGACGCCTTCTAGCCGGGCCCCGGCGTGCCGCGAGGGACCGCCGTGGTGACGCAGGGGGGGGGGGGGGGGGGGGGGGGCGGAGCTCACCGTGGAGTGGATGATGCTCAGAGTTTTGTTGGTGGCGGAGCGTGTGCTGTTGCTGTTGTCGTTGTAGAGGCCGTTGTAGTACTCAATCATCTGCGTCTCCACCTGCGTGGACATCGTCGTCGTCAATATCATCGTCGTCGTCGCCATCACCGTCGTTGACGCCATCATCGTCATCGTCAACGTCGTAATTGCAAAGATGGCGATCATCGTCGTCATCACGGTGGAGACCAATAATGGAGCGGGAGCCGGGGGTTGGGGATCGCTGCGGCGAGGACGTCCACGGGGGAGATGGAGCGACGAGAAGTAGAGGCGCGGGCCGCGTGCGGTCGTTAGCGGGCCGCGAGCGGCAGCGGTGGTGGCTCGGGGAGGCCTTCACCCAGCAGCGAATTGACCACGGCTGGTGGGGACGATGAGGTGCGGGCGTCTGCGTGGCGCTGCTGCCTCACCTCGTCGTGGAACATGAAGGCCCAGATGGCGGCGGTGATCTCGGCCGAGAAGAGGATGACGATCAAAGTGAAGAACTGAAGAGGTGGAGGAGGAGGAGGTGGTGGTGGTGGAGGAGGCGGTGGTGGAAGTGGTGGAGGTGGTGGAGGATGGGGGGGGGGGGTGAGACATAGATTCAGCCACAATCATGAATAACAACAACAACCAACAACAACAATAATACCACTGACAACCACAATTAACAATAAACTATTACAACGGCAACCAATCACAACCACAGTCAGGAATGCTGTCTCGGGAACATTCGATGTAGCTGTTCCGGCACTTTGGCACGGAACGCCACATCCATCGCGCCTTCCTGTGCGTCCTCGTGATACTGTGGATGAAGATGGCGGCGGCGTGTGTAGCAGCGTGTGAGTTGTTTTTGTGAGTTGTTTTGCGTGAGTGTAAAGTGTGCGTGAGAATGTGTGAAATGTGAGTGAGAATGAGCTGTGTGTGAGCTGCGTGTGAGTGTGCGTGAGTGAGCTGTGTGTGTGAGTGAGCCGTGTGTGTGAGTGAGCCGTGTGAGGGTGAGCCATGTGAGAGTGAGACGTGTGAGCCGTGTGAGAGTGAGACGTGATTATACTACTTGTGTGTTGTAAGGGCCATTGGCCGAAACGTCGCCTATTATTCTGGATTTTATTTTGGAGGCCACCCCCAGCAAATGTAGTGCAGCAGCTTCATAGCTTCATGGCCGTGACGAGAGGGACTTCTGCGTTCGGGCAGTGATGTGTGTGATGGTGTGGTGATGTGCACTCGTGTGTGTGTGTGATGGTGTACACTCGTGTGTGTGTGATGGTGTGGTGATGTGCGCTCGTGTGTGTACCTGGCGCAGCCTGAGTGAGGCCTGGTTGGTCGCGCACGTGGCGCAGCCTGAGTGAGGCCTGGTTGATCGTACACCTGGTGCGGCCTGGGTGGGGCCTGGTTGGTCGTGCACATGACATTGCCTGAGTGAGGCCTAGCTAATCGTGCACCTGGAGCAACGTGAGTGTGGCCTAGGTAATCGTGCACCTGGCGCAGCCTGAGCGAGGCCTAGTTAATAGTGCACGTGGCACAGCCTGAGTGAGGCCTAGTTAATCGCACACATGGCGCAGCCTGAGTGAGGCCTAGTTAATTGTGCACGTGACACTGCCTGAGTGAGGCCTAGAAAATTGTGCACCTGGCACAGCCTGAGTGAGGCCTAGTAAATCATGCACAAGGCATAGCCTGAGTGAGGCTTAGTTGGTCATGCACGTGGGGCCTGGTTGTGCACATGCCACTGCCTGGGTGAGGTCTGGCGGATCGTGCACCTGGCGCAGCCTGAGTGAGGCCTAGTAAATCGTGCACCTGGCGCAGTCTGAGTGAGGCCTGGTTGATCGCGCCCATGGCGCAGCCTGAGTGAGGCCTAGATAATAGTACGATGGACCCCAAGCTGTGTTCCTGCCAAGGCAACATTGCCACGGACCCCAGGCTGTGTTCCTGCCAGGGCAGCATTGCCACGGACCCCAAGCTGTGTAAATGCCAAGGCAACATTGCCACGGACCCCAAGCTGTGTAAATGCCAAGGCAACATTGCCACGGACCCCAAGCTGTGTTCCTGCCAAGACAACATTGCCACGGACCCCAAGCTGTGTTCCTGAAAACTTCACGGAGATCGTCAAGACGGCCAAGGGTCGTGAATGAAGAGGCCCCTGTGTGGGCTTCAGTGGGGCCGTCTGGTCGGGCAGCAGAGACACGAGAGGCCAAGAAACGACATTTCCAGTCGTGGGCTGAGCTCAAGGAGGGCTAGCTCGAGCACCATCCTGCGGCGGGGAAAGGAGGCGGTACAAGTGGTTCAGCCGAGCCCACAACAGCCAAGAATCTGCTGTCCCTGTCTGGGGGGGGGGGGGGGGGGCGGGCTGTTCAACCCTAGCACATGGGCGAGAAGCCGTGCATGTTTGGAATTAATACAAGCTACCATACTGCCTCTACTTGACTACTGTGACATCGTGTATAAATCAGCCCCAAGTACTGAAGAAGCTTGATTCCATCTATCACTCGGCCTTAAGATTTACATTGAACTGCCTATATAGGACTCACCACTGTGATCTCTACATTGGGTCAAACTTAACATCTCTTAATGTTCGACGGCTTGTGCACCAGATCTTATTTATTCAAGATGTACTTACAAAAAAAATCCGCAGACTACCTGCTGGATCTCCTCTCTGTTTCAAAGAACAAATTTGACCTCAGGTCTTCGCTCATTTACCAGCTTCACATTCCCTATTGCCGTAAAAAAAACTGGAGGAAGGGCCTTTGCTATTGATGCCCCCAGGGTCTGGAATGCTATTGCCAATAAACTGCAACTTGAATCGCTACCAATGAGATCTTCTCTCAAAACTGCTCTAGATGAGTTGTACACCCCTAGCTGCCACTGCTATTCATTGGCGTAAAATAAAATAAAATGTTTCGCTCTGGATGACGCTGCAAAGTATTATCTGTGTTTTGATTTAGCGTGCTGATCTTAAAGGTGCATTGAAAATTTTGATACTCCGACTGATGCTTCTGTTGTTGTGGAGTAACTCATGCAGCCAGCTATGGCTCTAGGGTTTGGTGTTACATGTTATTTATGTAGTTTATTGTAAAAAATTCGGTCACAGTCCCTATGATCACTGTTACATTGCAATTATGGCTTTATTTTTTGGTGATTTTGAAAAGTTTTTTTGGTTTGGACATGTTCGTTTTGTTGTAGTACGGAGTTAGACTGATGGTCTTAATCTAAGTTGTCTTGTGGTTGTTGTTGTTGTTTGACTTGCATCCCACTGGGATTTTTTGCACACAGCGTTGGTGCACGGTGCTTTTTCAGGAATATTTTGTGTTTTTTTCATGGATTTTCTGTTTGCACAGTCACATAATCACTTTAAGATGTTTTCCTGTTCATGTTTTTGTTTTTTGTTTGTTGTGGTTGCACCCGATTCAAGAGCCGAATGGCTCACAGGGCTATACCAAATATAAATAAACTGAAACTGTGGACAAAATCCTCATACCCCAAGCCAACCGACAGCAGCGGCAGCAGCGTTCCGGAAGAAGCGGAGTGTGGAACCGAGGGCCCCCGTACGGAAGGGCGCGCCGGTCGATCGCATTGCATTCCGTGCCGCGTGATATCGCCGTGACGTCACCGTCACGTGCACAGCATGCTGGGAAGTCGTCGCGGCGTAGTGCCGTCGCAGGGCGCCGCTCACCGTGCGCGTGTGAACTCGTGGCGGCCTCGTGGGTCAACACTTTACGATCGCAATTACAATTAAACATTCACTCCTATTTTAGTGTCGGGTTCCCTGGGACTTCCCCTTTTCTCTTTTAAAAGCCACTGTTGCGATAAAACGCCGCACGTGCACGCTCGCACGCACGCACGTGCGCATACGCGCGAAGGCAAAGGTCCCCCGCGCAGCTCACGCGGCCCGCTGGGGCAAGTGCTGTGAGCGAGCAGCGTCTACGGAGGCTGGGAGCGGCGCATTGGCGGGTGGGGCGTGGCCGCGGCCGCGTCCCGACCGTCTTTGTCTCCCCAGTGCTGATGTTTCGTGATGGTGCACCGGGTAGACGTTTTAAGGCCGAGTCGACCTAGGGGAGGCCCAGGACCGGTTCAGATAATCGTCACCGGTGTTGACCGTGAGCGGGAATCGAACTCGGGTCGCCAGGTTCGCAGCGCAGCGTAGCGCTAACCGCTGCACCACCGCTCCCCACACACACAGACACACGCACACACACACAGACACACGCACACACACACAGACACACGCAGACACATGCCGGTGATGCCACGTTCAGGAGGAGCGCAGGGCTCAAGGTGGCTGCTTGGTAAACACAGGGAGGGGCAGCGGTGCACGCACCATCGCCTCTGGCACCACACGCACACACGTGCACACGCGCACACACACACGCACACTCACACGTGCACACGTGCACACACACACGCACACACACACGTGCACGCACACACACACGCGCACACACACACGCACACACACGCACACACACACACACGCGCACACACAGGCACACACGCACACACACGCACACACGCGCACACGCACACACACACACACGCTCGCGCACGCACTCACCGCCACTTTCCCATCCCGCACCACAACAGCTGCTGCTGCTGCTGCAGCTGCTGCTGCTGCTGCAGCTGCTGTGGTGGCTGCTGTTGCTGCTACCGTTGCTACTGTTGCTACTGCTGCTACTTCTGCTGTTGCCGCTGTTGCTACTGCACGTGATTATCCCTCGCGGCTGTACTCTATCCGCTGCTAGACGAGTGCCTCACCCCGCGAGCGCGAGACGGACAACGAGACAGACAACGAGACAGACAACGAGACAGACAACGAGACAGACAACGAGACAGACAACGAGACGGACAACGAGACAGACAACGAGACAGACAACGAGACAGGCGCGAGATGGCGGAGATGGCGCGGGTGAAGGAGGGCACACCGCGCGTGACGGGGAGGGATGGCAGTCGTGCGGGCAACTGCATTCCGCACGCAGCCTGGGGCGGCAGTGCGTTTCCCCGTGACCACCCCTGAGCCGCCCTGTGTCTCCCTGTGTCTCCCTGTGTCTCCCTGTGTCTCCCCATGTCTCCGTGTCTCCGTGTGTCTCCCCTGTGCCACCCTGTCTACCTGTGTCTCACTGTGTCTCCCCATGTCTCCGTGTCTCACCATGCCACCCTGTGTCTCCCCATGCCACCCTGTGTCTCCCTGTGTCTCCCCATGTCTCCGTGTCTCACCATGCCACCCTGTGTCTCCCTGTGTCTCCCCTGTGCCACCCTGTCTACCTGTGTCTCACTGTGTCTCCCGATGCCACACAGTGTCTCCCTGTGTCTCCCCATGCCACCCTGTGTCTCACCATGCCACCCTGTGTCTCCCTGTGTCTCCCTGTGTCTACCTGTGTCTCCCTGTGTCTACCTGTGTCTCCCCATGCCACCCTGTCTCCCTATGTCTACCTGTGTCTCCCTGTGTCTCCCCGTGCCACCCTGTGTCTCCCTGCGTCTCCCCATGCCACCCTGTGTCTCCCCATGCCACCCTGTGTCTCCCTGTGTCTCCCTGTGCCACCCTCTGTCCCCCCATGCCACCCTGTGTCTCCCCTTGCCACCCTGTGTCTCCCTGCGTCTCCCCATGCCACCCTGTGTCTCCCCATGCCACCCTGTGTCTCCCTGTGTCTCCCCATGTCTACCTGTGTCTCCCCGTGTCTCCCCGTGCCATCCTGTGTCCCCCCACATGCCACCCTGCGTCTCCCATCTAACCTGGAAACATCGCTGAATCGTTTTGGGGGGGGGGGGGTGGTGGGTGGGGGAAAAGGACAGCTCCAATAATTTCGATCACCGTTCCAACGCCACCCCCTCCCCCCCGCCCTCCCCGAGCCTCACGGCGCCCGGCGCACTTACGGTTCCCAGCATGCACTGCGACTCCTGGATGGCTCCGCAACAGCCGAGGAATCCGACCACCATCATGAGCGCCCCCACCACGATCAGAACGTAAATCCCTGTGGGGGTGGGGGTGGGGGTGGCAAGGGAGGGGCGACGTGATGGCGGCATTCAATCCAGGCGAGGGATTTCGCTGCCGGCGTTATGACGACTCACAGGCCGAGATATTCCGGCGGTCAGGCCACGTCGGAGTCACGATCCGGCAAAGTTCGTGTTGCAGTGGCACGACAAGATTATATTGCGACTCATCACCATCACGGTCATCAACACGGACACCACCATCACTATCATCACCATCTCACGCTCGCACGCACGCTCACTCACTCACACTCGCACGCACGCTCACTCACACACACTCGCACGCACGCTCACTCACACTCGCACGCACGCACGCTCACACGCTTACACAGACCACAGACATGCGCACTCACACACACTCGCACATGCTCACACACGCGCACACTCACACGCTCACATACACGCTCACGTACAAATGCCCATAAAAGACAAAGATCCCCGTATGGCCTAAACAAACTGTTGGGGCAAGTGCTGGCTCACACACACACATGCTCAGACACATACAAAGATCCCCCGTATAGCTTGAATATACTGTAGGGGCAAGTGCTGTTAGCGAGCAACTATGAATGCCGGAACGGTACACGAGGGGGTGGGTGGCCAGCACCACGCCCGGCCGCCTTTGTCTCCCCAGTGGCGATGTTTACACACCGCACCAGGTAATCATTTGAGGCTGAGCCTTGGACCGGTTCAGATTATCGTAACTGGTGTTGGTCGTGAGCGGGAATCGAACCTGGGTCGCCGGGTTCGTAGTGCGGCGTATCGCTAACCACTACACTACCGCTCCCCACACGCACGCTCACACACAAACACGCTTCCACACAGGCACGCTCACATATGCTCTTTCATACACACACACACACGCTCTCACACACACACGCGATCACACACACACACACGCTCTCACACACACAGGCTCACACACTCACACACACAGGCACGCTCACACACACACTCTCACACACACATGCTCTCACACACACACGCTCTCACACACACACGCTCTCACACACACACACACGCGCTCTCACACACACACGCTCTCACACACACACACACACGCTCTCACACACACACACATGCTCTCACACACACACGCTCTCACACACACACGCTCTCACACACACACACGCTCACACACACACACACACACGCTCTCACACACACACACACGCTCTCACACACACACACGCTCACACACACACGCTCTCACACACACACACGCTCTCACACACACACACGCTCTCACACACATGCTCACACAGGCATGCTCTCTGTCCCAGCACAGCGCCCGTCTCTGTAGCCACGTTCACAGCGTTTCCTGTTTGCGAGATCGCATCTGGGACCCACTGCGTTCAGCCGCCAACAAACCACCCCCCCAACCACCCCCCAACCACCCCAACCCAACCACTCACCCCACCGCTGCACACCCAAACTCTCCGCACGCGCAACCGCACACCCCTTCACTCACGCACAAACACACCGCGCACCTCATCGCTACACACCGCAATCACGCAACCGCAAAACCCTATCGCACCCCCGCACACTCGCACCACACACAACCGTACACACCATCCCAGCAACGCACCCCATCACCCTCCCCCACCCCCCGACCCCACACGGCCCCCCCTATCGCTCGCCCCTAAGCCACGGGACCGAAGCCGGCCCTGGAAATCCCATTAGGCCATCAGAGGGGGGGGGGGGGGGCGCCCATCAGCGTAGTCCCAGTTTCTGAGTCATGGGGAGCTCTCCGTGCGATTCCACAAAAGTGCGGGCCGCGTGCATTCCCTCTGCCACTGCGACGGCCGTTCTGGCGATTTGCGTTGCTGTAGACATCGTCCGGGAAGCCGGCGACGGAGCGAAGCCGGAGACGGAGGGAAGGGAGGGAATGAGGGAAGGGAGGGAATGAGGGAAGGGAGGGAATGAGGGAAGGGAGGGAATGAGGGAAGGGAGGGGAATGAGGGAAGGGAGGGAATGAGGGAAGGGAGGGAATGAGGGAAGAGAGGGAATGAGGGAAGGGAGGGAATGAGGGAAGGGAGGGAATGAGGGAAGGGAGGGAATGAGGGAAGGGAGGGAATGAGGGAAGGGAGGGAATGAGGGAAGGGAGGGAATGAGGGAAGGGAGGGAATGAGGGAAGGGAGGGAATGAGGGAAGGGAGGGAATGAGGGAAGGGAGGGAAGCCCCGATGAATCGACGGGAGTAAATATTTGGCCGCGTTTGTTTGACTCTCCCACAGCAGTTGCTTGATTCATAAATCCGACCCGCACTGCTGATGAGACACTTAATGTCGACAACCGATACAAAGTTTTGCTTGAAATTAGCGGCACTGCTGGACACTAGCGGCCCTCCCAGAAGAAAGGCTGACCGGGCGGGCAAAAAAAGTACTTTACTGAACATTTGTGCGGACACTGAACACTGAGACTTTGACAGAGACATTGCGAGAGAGGAACACGCTGGCTAGAGAACACACGCCGGGTTCATGACATCATCGCATCGATCTTCATCCAGCAGTGGATAGCCCATGATGACGATTGCAGGGTGTTGCCTCGGGGAAGCAGCCTTGGGCAGCTGTGTGGAGCTGTGGGGGTCTGGGACAAGATTGGGTTGGGGGGGCTTGAAGCGTTGGTGGAAGCAGTGTGTCGAGTGTGTGTCGTGAGTGTGTGTGCGTGTTGCGTGGCCCTAACGTGCACATAGCCTGGCACTAGCGCCGTGGCGACGTCATCGCCACTTAGTGGCGAACGGCGGTTGCTGTTGTTGTTGTTGGGTTGAGTGGGTGCATGTGTGTTGCAAGCAGGAATTTCAATATCGCTTGCAGCTGGGGTTAGCATCGTGCCCTTCCTCCTTCTGATGCTGAAGGTAAATGGGTGAGGTTCAGGACCGTGGCTCACGCAACAACAACGGCTGCATTGGGTACGCGGTCCACACCTCCCCAGAGACCCTGGCTGAAGGAGGAGGTGTTCCAGGCTGGTTGAGAGGCCCACTCCTGTCGTCCACAACATCCAACATCTGAGAATGATGAGGCCTACCGCAGCCTTCGCTCGGAGATTCCGACAGCCGTGCGCGCTGCAAGGATGGGTGGTGGGATCGGGTTGCTGATGAGATGGAAGCTGCCTTAGGAGCCCGCAATCACAAATCACTATTTAATTCCATCAAAAAAGTAACTTGCAGCGCCTCACCTATCACCATCCTCAAGGGAAAGAACGGTCACCCGATCTCTGACCCCCGGGAACAGGTCTGCAGGTTTGCACAGCATTTTTGTGAGGTCTTGGGGGAGGGGAATTCCCTCGGCCCAGACAACATCGTGGGGTGAGGTGGGAACGACCCTGCTAGGGCTGCCGTGCTTCAAATATTGGCAGAAGTCGCCACCCCCTTCTGAATGGTTGGCTTGAGGTGCCCTCTGTGGGGGAAGCTTGAGGTGCCCTCTGTGGGGGAAGCGTGAGGTGCGGTCCGAAGTCTGAGACCAGGAAAAGCGCCGGGCAGAGACCATCTCCCAAGCGAAATGCTAAGAGTGGGTGGCATCTGTGTTCAGACTGCCCTACTTGGCATCATCACAACTGGACCACAGAACGGGTTCCGCAGGATTGGAAAGATGCCCTGGTGGTCCACTGTAACAACTACAGGGGCTTCTCCCTCCTCAGCGTGCTGAGAAAGTCCCTGGCAAGGATTATTCAACATCGCCTTGCCAGGCATGGTGAGGAGAGGCTGGTGGAACCACAATGTGGTTTCAGGGAAGGGCGGTCCTGCACGGATGCCATTTTCTCTGTCCGTCTGCGACATCAAAGGTGTAGGGAATTCCAACAAGACCTACATCTCTGCTTTATTGACCTGGTCAAGGCCTATGGTACCATCAAAAGGCCAGGGCTGTGGGCATCTCTTCTTGTTCTCGGAGTCCCTGACTCTCTGCTCACGATCATTAAGGGCCTTGATGATTGCGGGCAGGCCCGGGTAAAACTACGTGGCCAGGTGTCGGAGCCATTCCCTGTTCACCTAGGGGTGCAACAGGGATGTCCTCTGCCGCCCACATTATTTAACATCATCTTTGACCACATAGTTCGAGAAGCTTTTGATGGCTGTACCGGACAAATTTCCACCTGGTACAGATACAACGTGAGGCTGATCGATGCCCGGGTGCGGTCGAGGGATGGCTCCCGATTGGTCAGCCACGTCATGTATGCTGATGGTCTGGTAATTGCTGCTCACTCAGAGAAGGAGTTGGAGGTGCTGCTGCTGAACCTGGAGTGTCCCACTAAGCCCCACCAAAGCTAAGCACCTGCCTGGGTATTTAGTGCCACCAAACACTCCACCCCCTAAGCTCCCCATTAGTGATGGAGCAGTTGTGGAGAGAGTGGAGAGTTTCCCATACCTGGGCAGTGTGCTTATGACTGGCTCCGGTTTGACAGCAGAGGTCTCACTCCAAATCAGTCAGGTGGCATTATCTTTTCATCGGTTGCGTAAAGCTGTGTGGAAGCTACCTGGTCTGTCGCTCCGCACGAAGCTTCAGGTCTTCTCAGCCACGGTCATGCCCTCCCTTCGCTACGCTTGCGAAATGTGGACCCCTCTCATGGAGCATCTGTGCCGGTTAGAAACATTCAGGCTGGCCTGCCTCCGATCCATCCTGGCTTTAACCAGGCTGGATTGTGTGAGGAGCTCACAAATCCTTGAAAGATCTGGGCAGTCCCATCACTGAGCCTCAAAGTGCACCTGGCCTGGCACAGGCGCCGTGGTGACATCACCGTCACTTGGTGGCGAATGGTGGAAATTGGCATTGGATATATGTGTTGAGTGGGTGAGCGTGTGTGGGTGCTCGTTAACAGCACTTCCCCACAGTCTGTTAAGGCTACACGGGCGACCCTTTGCATGTGTTTACGCGACAGAAACCGATGGACACAGAGGAATTAGCAACAGGAAGGTCGGAGGTGACGGATCCACAAAACAAACCCGGCCATTGTGGTTCCCACGAGGCCCCCACCCCCTCCAGAGACCC